CTTTCCATTCATAGCCAAATATTGTTGGATTAGCTAGAGCACAGCCTGTAAGCCATTCTAACAAATATTCTTTCCATAGAGAGGATCATTTTATAACTTCTGTTACTCTAGGGAGCCCTGAACAGTACACCAGGCATGTAGAGAAGACATTCTAGAGTAGTTTGTGTCTCAGCTATGTCATAAATTCCCAGTGGCCACCTTCCCTTAACCATTCTTCAGGTGATGCTTTGTGTTGGCCTTCTTATATCTTATATCATCTCAGCAACAAGAATAAAATAGCAAATGTCCCAAATCTCTCAAATGGAATGCAGAGTAATATAATTAAAAGAGTGCCTCAGATGGAAAGATTCTAGGGTAAATGAGAAATAGAAAGCCTTAGGAATAGAAAGTATTAGCTTTTGTGGACCATGACCATGTACCTACACTTGTACTAAGATCAGAGGACAATTCTCAGAAGTTTGTTCTCTCCTTCAATCATGTGACTCCTAGAGAAGTAACTCAGGTCTGTAGGCCTAGCAGAAGCTACCTTTGCCCACTGAGCCGTCTCTCCAGCTGATCATGTCATCCATGGAATTCATAAGCTTTGTATTTGTATTGATGCTCTGTGTGTTTATGTTCTTTATTCATAAAGAGTAGATTCTTTCTACCCTTGTTTGATAGCACCAGTTTGTTGTCCCACAGGATTACTTCCTCCACACATTAACTCTCTGATTCACTGTCAGTCTCAGAAGGCAGATCTGGTCCAGGGGAGCTTCATAAAAATAAAGCACTCATCTGGAAGAAACCCTTCCTCAGGACACAATGAGATCAGCCTGGGTTAAAGAGCACCATCCACCATCCCTCTCCTTTCCTAGCCTTATACAGAAATGCTCCTCAAGACTGGCACGTATCTTTTGCTGCAGGCTCCATCCACTCTGGCTGGTGTGAAGCTTCCTCCCAACACTGCTTAGCTGGACCATCAAGAGGGACTCCTATCCATACCTCCACCACCAGGAGTGTCTTCTCAATTCTGCATTTCATCAGATGGCCCTAATCTTCATTGTCATCCAGGATGAGGTGTGAGAGATCTGCTCCAACCCTGACAATAAGTGATGCTGGAGCAGGATCCTGAACCCACCAACGCCTTGCATGGATGCCTGGTATCCTAAGACAATTAGCATGCCTACATCAGGTGTTTGTCCCTTCTGGTCTCCTGAAATTTCTCTTTGCTTGTGAGTGATTCAGTCAAACTAATATAACACACATGGCTAGAAGGACAAAAGTCAAGTGCAGGGTCTGGAGAGATGGCTGCTGCATTTTGAGTAGTTTCTCTCCCAAAGGACCAACAGAGCAACTAAAAAGCCACTATAACGCCAGGTTCAGGTGGAATCTGATGTCTTCTTCTGGCCTCTGGTGGAATTGCATGCATGTGGTATGCAGCCCTGCTGCAGGGAAAATGTCCATACATATAAATAAAAGAAATAAATTTTTTAAGAAATTGAACCCATTTGTAGTTGAGGCCAAAAAAGTCCCAACGTATCTTGGAATTCATTCTGTCTACAGTCTGGTTTTTCACTGATGTTATATTTTAAGGAAACCAGGGGCAGATAGCTCTGGTTTTTCTATTTTTTTTTATTTTAAATGTTTTATTATTCTTTGTTGGTTTCACATGATGCATCCCAATCCAACTTTTCCCCTTATCCTTTCCATCACATCTGAGCTCTGTCCTAATCAAAATAAAATTTAAAGGAAAACTGAAAACCCAAATTTACAAACAAACAAAAGTCTTGGCAAGGAAGTTTAGTGTGGCCCAGTGAGTCACACAGTATACTCTTTAGTCCATACATCTTTTCTTGTAAGTGTTCCTGGCCTCTCTGGCTTCTCTACACTATAGATGATGGACCTTCACTTGTACTCTTCTTGGATATCCTATTGATGCCTTGTGTCAAAGAGATCCTGCAGCTTTAGATCTTCAGAACTGGGCCCTTTACCTGCTCCAGCAGTCCAGGGATAAAGATGACGTTAGGGTTGGATAATTCATAGCCATGGTTCTGGCTGGGGGTACCTGGGATGGTCAGGCTGCCAGCTTTCCTTCATCTTCTCCACCCAGGCAAGCTCTCCAGCACTGCCCCACCGAGGTCAACTCATGCAATGGGCAGAATGGAGAGAGGCCCTTTGTCCTGTTCTCATGCACTCAAATCTGACTTTCCCACACTCAGAGTAAAGGGACAGCTCTAGTGCTTTGCTGAGGTGATGTACCAGGCCCACAAACCCAGTTCCTACAGTTGGTGAGAGGCTGACCCAGCTCTTCTGTTCTCATGCCCAAAGTCCCACTCTCCCACCAGCTGCAGGTGGCATTTGATCAGGTGAGGCAGGGATCTTTCCCTTACCCTGGCCAACACAAGGCAGAAGTGGGTAGACTCAGTTCCTCTGCTCTCACAGTCTCAGGGCAAGCTCACTGACACCACAACCAACAGGGTCAGCTCTACTGTACTGCTCAGTCCAGGTGCAGAGCCCACTCTCCCCAGTCCTGCAGTGGGTGAGGGGCAAGTTCAGATGTCACTAGTACTAAGGCCAGCGAAGTATGGGGTTAACTCTTTGAGTTTCTATCCTGTCTTCAGTAGTAAAAGGAGCCACTGACATCAACATAGACAAAGTCTGTGGCAGGGCAATGGACCAGACATGGTCTTTGACAGCAGCCTAGGCCTCGAGGACACCAGGGTCCCTGGTGGCAGCACAGGCCAGTCAGATCTGTATGGCTCCTGCAGGAACACACAACTTAGACACTATCATGGTCCTAGGTGACAGCCCAGACCTCTACCTACCTCTGTGTGACCCTTGGTGGTCATACAGGCTGTGGATATGAACAATGATCCTGGCTGTGTTTGCAGCATGGACCCAGACATGTTCCAAAGTTGTAGCCCAGGGCTGGATATCATCATGGCTCTGGTTGGCAATGAAGGTCACACAAATTGGCAGGGACCCACTAGCACCATGACCCATGGTGGTAGCCCAAATTCCAAGCATCTTTGAAGACAACAGATGCCTGAGATATCAACACAGACCCTGGCTGCAACAGGGCCATAGACCCAGACATGACCCTCAGTAATAGCTCCAGCCCTGATGTCATTATGGTCCTAGGGGGCAGCACAGGCTTCTAAGACACATATGTCCCCTTTGGGGCATATCCCTTTGACACTAACATGGTCACAGGTGGTGTCCAAGACTGCAGGTGGCTGCCAGGCCCTCAGTGGTAGAGGATGATACATGGGTATCAACACAGACTCCCACAGCTGTGTCAGGGCCATGGACAGGGCATGACCCTTAGCAGCAGACCAGGCAGGGACATCATCATGGCTCTAGGTGGCAAGCAGGCCATGGATTTCTTTCATACTCCTTTAGTAAATGTTCTCATTTCCTGAGAGACTTTACAGCAATACTGTTGTATTTCTCATGAATGTGGTGCACATGATCACATCATGAAGTGGGTATACAGAATGCTATAGCTAGAGATAGCTAAATATATGTCCACAAGGATGAAGTATGGATTCCTTCATGCAATGGGAATACATGGAGTTGACAACACCATCCACATGCAAAGCTCTGTGTAGCCCTGGCTGCCTGGGAACCTACTCTGTAGCCCAAGATGGGCACACAAGAGTTCTGATGTTACAGGAGGTTCTGGGGTACTGGAGTGAGACAACACACCTGACCAAAGAAATAGGTTCTAAGACAGAAAAGTTCAAAATCACTTTATTATTAATAAAAACACAGTAATATTACTCAATAGGGGCTTAAAGGGAGAAGTCAATATAAACAGTAAACAGCCTTATCAAAATACCCAAAAAACTACAAGATCAAAAGAAAGAAAAAATAAATATCAAAATCTCAATCTATAACAAAAAAACCCAAAGGAAACAAAACCCAACCAAAAAAAAACAAAACAATTAAGGTCAGCAGCATTCTCTTGCTGCACTTTTAGCAGCACAGACCTACAGCCTGTGGCTGGCCTTGGAAACATGGTAGGAAGGCAGTCAGTGAATGTGAAAGCCTTTTTCAAAGCTACTGTAGCCATGCCTCCTGCAGGCTTTGTAGGCCAAGCCCTTACTCAGACTAAGAATGAGAGATTTTCTAGAGCATTCTTTGTGTCCCTCTGGGAAGCTTTTGATAAATTATCACCCACTGCTGATCCTGTAATGTCTTGGTCACTATTTGATTCTTTCAGCATACAGACACTTGTGCACTTATTAGAGACTCCACAAATATGTGGGCAGCATCTGCATACCAAAAAACATCAAAGATGACTCAGATGTCTTCTATAAATCCTTTTTCAGGACCAGGCAATTCAGTTGAGGCTGAGAAATGGAGACATACCCACTGATTTTAAATATGCAGGAAAAAGTGACTAACCCGGGGAATGAGGGACAGTGAAGATCTCTGTGGTGCATTGTCTTCAGGAACACTTGTGCAGGACATGGAGTCAGCTTCAACACTGGCCTGGAGAATGAAAATTATGGTTTTTGGTGTAGTCTGTCAGGAACAGCTTGACATCAACAGTCTTCCATGACAGATTTCCCTCCACCTAGAGAGGGCTGAGTGCTCAGTCAGCTTACCAAAGCCATCGACATTAAACTGTCAGAAAATGCATGGCCTTGATTAGATACCAGGTGAATGTGAGCAGCCTGGGAAATTGAATGTAGACCATCTAGGAGATCCTACAAAGTAAAAGCAGTGAAGGATCTGATTATTCCTTCAGTATACAAACCTGCCTAGGTTCAACTCCTCAACCCCTAAATCTTCTTTTAACAGAAAAATCTTTTCACAGGAAACAGATGCACACTGCAGAGAACCTGTAATCTGCAGGAGTGTGCTGCATGCAGATCTGTCCAAAGGTAGGAACTTCTCTTTAAAGGCGATGTTCTGGAAGGAAAATAAAGTGGCAGGAGCACACACTGTCCTCCACAACTAACCCTCCTCCTGCTAGGTTGAGGACTGCCATAAGGAGATTTGTGGGGAGACACAGGGGACAAGGTACTGAGAAGATACCAGAGAGCTCAGAAAGGAATAAGGGATACACACTCCCCAGAAACACAAAGGATCAATCAAACATAGTGTTTTCTGGAGAAGTTCTCATTGACTGAGCCAGCACAATACCCTTAGGTGTTCTTTCCCTGGCTCTGGCTGAGAGCCATCCAGATTGGAATAATCCCCCAAAAGGACAGAAATCCAGGTACAGGTGACCTACATGGTTCTAACTGCTCCACCAGGCTTGTGCTCCTACCTTATCTCAGAGACGTTGAAGTGATGTTGCATCTTTTCTGCCATGTCCTTTTGCTGGGTACCAGCTCCTCCTGCTTCAACAGGTCCTTTAGTCTTTCATCCAGGCTCTCTTGCCTCTGTTTATTAGAAGACTGTGTTCTCAGTGGAGGGTCTCTCACTCACATGCAAACAAACTCATGAATACACACAAGTACATGTGTGCACACATACAAGCACACTTTAATGCAGTAACATGTTTAATTTCCCAGCTAATGTTAATATAAGGAACAATCACCAGGGATACTATTGAGAAGAATATTTACTTTTGTAGGATGAGAGAAGAATACAGTGGCCATGAGAAACAGGCAACTCAATCATTGAAGTGCCTATCCTGTGATCCTAATGCACAGACATGTGGACCTCTGGGGTACTAGTTGGTTAGCCAACCCTGCTTAGGAAGTTCTCCAGGCTGTGCAGTATAGGAATGTTCCCCAGCAGAGGACAACTGGACCAGCTCACTGGTCTTATTCACTAATTCCCAGTTGGCCCCAAGGTGAGCAACTTCCCCAAAAGAAGCTCCCTCTACCACAGGCTGCCTCATGTCAGAGCAAATGAGCTCAGGAAACTAGAAAACCCAAGAGCCCAGGAACCTAGAAAATTGCCACAACAAGGAGTCAAAATCAACAATTCCTCCTGGTAAGGCGATTGTGTCAAGGATTTCTTTGAGCAACAAAAGGCTGACTATATCAGGGCCAAATGATTGCATGTATTATTTCGTGCTGAACAATAATTCATGGAAGGGTTCAATCACATTGTACTTTTTCACTCAGCGAATGATGGACATCTAGATAGTTTCTACTTTTAGGCTACTCTGAGGAATGCTACTACAACACTAATGTCCCCTAGCTTCTCCTTGGACACCTACTTCGTATTCTGGAATCACTGGTTCACCTGTGAACTTCAGTTTAACTTTCTGAAGAAGAGTCTGTGGCTTCTCACTGTGCTATATTATGTTATACCACCAGCAATGTCTGAGAGTCCTCATTGCTCCCAACCCTCCATGAGGCTGATTTTAACTCAAAATGAAGAACTTTGAAGAAAAGCAGTTACTGAGTGCTACAGCATGTGGTGAGTGCTTTAGACCATCACGAGCCTAGGGTGTGCACAGAGACAGCCCCATTCTCACACCACAGCATGGCTAGGGAATTATTCCCTCTACAATTACCTGAAAACCATTGACTTAGAGTAGTTTTGTGTCCTTTTTGTCCTAGAGAGCAAAGTGGACATGTGGAAAGATGGGCAGCAGCATACAATATTAGATGGATGAAAAGTGAGTGTGCACAGTACTTTTTCAACAAAGTTGGACTCTATTATCATTAAAGATGCTTCATACACAAAAAAGTGAACATATTGATGCATCCAAACACATACTTGCACATATAAGCATCCATACACACAAACATACACACATCAGCACTTAAAGCTATACATACAGGAACCATGGACACAGACAACCACACATGAGCACACATACACACACACACACACACAAAGTGACACTATCATGCATACAGCATGATACACAGAGGCAGCAGATACACACAGAGACACAAAAAACACACATATAGGTCCACACACACAAACAGAGATGTACAGAAATGCATCACAGAGCATACACACAGCACAAGCACACACACACAGCACACACACACACACACACACACACACACACACACACACACACACACACACTTCTGATCCCAGAATGTCCAGGTAGAAAAGGCTGCCTTTAAGAAAGTCTTCTGCAGGGGGAGGAAGTGGGTCCACTCTGCTGTCTACAAGGCTCTTAGACTCAGCCAGGCTCTGCTACCCTGGCCTGCACTTACTTTTACTTTCATGAGCTTTATCTATCCCAAGACTCACTGATCACACGGCTTCCAAGTTGATCCATCGCAGTCTCTTCACTAAACCTCCCCTGGCTCCTCCACAGAAGACCCTGCCTAGTTCAAGAGAAAGAAAGTGACCCATGGTCAAAACCTAGGAAGTTTGTAACAGGTTGCAGTGCATGTGATATGAAAATAGCCCCAAAGTCAGTCAGAAAGAGGCCAGTGAAGTGACCTACATAGCTTTTCAAGAATGCAGCACTCTACACAGCTATGAGAGGGAAATGTTCTAAGATACAGCCATGCACATGATGTAGTCAAAACACAATGTCAACAAGAAGATGCACTGTGGGATTCTGTGTTGTGAAGTCAATGAGACAAACCAGGCATTTCCTGTGGTTTTAGCTCTGTGCCTACTGTTTATTTTTAAAACATCTGTATTGTTTGATTTTTGTTATTTATTAGAAACCACATTAACATCAAAACAATAAAAGTAAATGAAGAAAAAGAAAGCTACTACATCCTTCCTTTTTCTGAGCAATTGAAACTTGTAGGAATTGGATGAGAATAAACAAGACAGAAGGTCTACCTTGGAGGACAGGAGATCCCAAGATTGCTGGACAGCCAGATTAGCCCAAAGAGAAAATATCAGGTTCAGAGAAAGACCTGAGCTCCAGGGAATAAGGGAGTGAGCAACAGATGACAACACGGGATTTTATTATGTAGTCTCTGAACACACCCACCAATGTACACATTTACACACGTCTGCATAGATCATACACAGACCACAGAAATCAGAAGTGAGAAGAAAAAAGTGAAGAGGACGTCATGCTGAATAAACAGCTGAATTTAGACTATGCACATCAGGTGTTTCAACTGAGACCCACAATACGGCAATCCATCCCTTTGGGCCTAAAACTTCCTAGGGGAACACACAAGTTAGTCAGACTATGTTGATGAGATTGGAGAACATGTTCTCTTGAAGCTTCAAATCTGTCACACCAACCCTCAGCCTATCAAAGTCCACCCACATCTATGGTCATCCAGGCAGCTCCAGACTGGAAGCTCCAGGATGCTCCCGGAGAACTGTCCAGAACCATGCCCAGAAAAAGGACTGACAAGGTGGTACTCAGGCTTCTGTCACTATGACCAAGAGCTTGGCAAAAGGAAGAGAACACATTGGGATGAAGGAAGAAAGGAGAAGACCACATGCCACCCAAAACGTTGACAATGAGAACCCCTCACTTGGCACTGGCACTGGGCTCTAGTCCTTGAAGGCTGCTTCCTCCCTGTGATCTCATATGACCCTTGCAAAGCAAATGAGCCACAGGCCACTGACATCATCAATGAAAGCTTTGTGCTGTTCCCTAAGTAGCTCCCTGCATAATAGCCTGTAGCTAGAGTTTTTCTCTCTTGGTCCCACCAAGCCCCGCAATCCCATAGCCCACTTATAAAATAAACATACAGATGCTTATATTATTTAAACTGCTTGGCCATTAGCTCAAGTCTACCATTGTCTAGCTCTTACTCTTATATGCAGCCCATTTCTGTTAATCTATGTCACTACGTGTTCAATGGCTTTACTTGCTGCCTTTACATGCTGCTACCTGGATGGCAAGCTGGTGGCTCCTCCTCTGCACCTTCCTGTTCTCTCAATTCTCCTCTCTGCTAGTCCCGCCTATACTTCCTGTCTGGCTACTGGCCAATCACTGTTTTATTTATCAATCAATCATCCACAGCACTTCCCCTTTTTCTTTTTTTTTCAAAAAGGAAGGTTTTAACTTTAACATACTAAAATTACATATAACAAAACAATTATCAAGCAAGAATTACAGTTACAATATTAAAGAACATATCTATCTAATATTTGTGAGTCTAAGGTTTTATATTTACCTTATCTGTTATCATAACTAAGGAAAATTGTAACTATCTAGCTTCAACTACATCAAAGGGCCCAGAAGGATATAATATTATCTGAGAAAGAGAAGAAGGACACAAGTAACTTTGGGAGTGTTGCAGGGTAGACAGAGACACCTGGAAGCATGGACAGTCACCTAATGTTCCTTTGTAAAGTTGAGGCATCTGTCTTCAGCCCACACGCCTAGAGTCTCCCAATCATTTCTCTCTGTGTCCTGTAGAATGTCTGGCAGTTTCCTCTGGTAAGCAGGAACCTGAAGGACCATTTCACCAAGCAAAGTTCAGTGGCCACCTTCCTATGGGTCCTGCATGTCCACTTGATCAAGCATTCTAGACAAGAACAGTTTCTTGCCCAAATGACTTTTTTTTTTTTTTTTTTTTTTTGCCAACGAGAAGATAAACTCCCTATGGAGTGGTTTTGAGCTTTCAGACACAATCATCCGCTGGTCAAGTACAAAGACTCACAACAAACTAACAGGACCTAGCATCTCCCACAAGCCAACACTTGTCAAGGCATCTTGAAATGCATGTTGAGAGCTCACACACTACTGTCCCTGTCCTCAGACTCTGGTTCAGGCCACAGGCTCTGCTTTTCATTTATAGGAAACAGAACAGCCTGTGTCCCCATCGCACTCCTACCCAGGGTCCAAGTTCTGCATCTTGAATGCACTCAGGAAGTTTAGTTTAGGCACCAGGACACCCTGGATGTACAGTCTCCTGTTCCTCAGGAAACCTGGGCTTGATACTGTGGTATTAAGATGATTAGCAGAGAACTGGGCATAATGACTACCTGTTTTTCAAATCCTTGTTTGTGTAATTGGCGAGGATTTCACACAGCTCATTTCTTTCACAGGTCATATTATTTAGCCAGACGGTGAGTTTCTCTATTTTTTTCATCTGGTGCTCCTGCTCAGTGAAGGTGGAGAGTTGGGATGGTGCCTCCTCTGTAGTCCCTGCAGGTAGATAAAGAAAAGTGAACTTGTATACTTGAATGGCTTAAGGTTAATAGAGTCCATGATGAGTTCCAAAGAGCCCGAGGAAGAAGAAATGCTAGGGACCCAGTGAAACTCCCAAAGAGCAGGGCAGCTATCCTCAAACTGGTGCCCATGATCTATGTCTCTGTCCTCAACCAGCAAGGCTAGGCTTGTGCCTCACTCCCTAGTACAGTCCCCTGGCCCTGGAAGACATAATGTATCCCAGCCATGTAGAGTTGGAGGACAGTGTCAGCTCATATCTGATGTGATGTAGGTAAGTCTCGAATGTCCCTAAAGCTTATCAGCACCAAGTTCTGATCACACGTGTCCAGGACCAAAGCATCTGAATGTCTGAGGCCCTGGTAGAGAGCCAAGGGAATTTCCCTCCCTTCTTATTAGCATCAGATTCCCATGGAAACAGTAGGAATCCACTGGAATGAAGTACAGCAACACCCTACCCAGAGAGGGGAACAGCTCATTTGTCAATCAGTTCCTCCTGTCCCTTTGCCTGTCTGAATGAAATGAAGGAGTTCCCAGAAAAGCAGCTGCAGCCTGAACAATTCATGGCTCTCCTAAACTCACCATCAGAGACTCTTGACTCTGGGTCTGCTATTAAGAAGCCCAGAGAAACAGGATAGGCCCATTGCTTCCCAGAAGCTCCCAGATGCTGAGCCCCAGCTCAAGTTCACCTCCTCCAGGAAGCTCGCTATCCCCTGCTCAGGATTCATTTTCTTCACCAAACCATTTATTTCTCCAGGTTTGAGACTAAGACCAAAGGCCAGCTTCCTTTGCCTCTCTCTGGTCACTCCATGTTCTCTATTCTCTCTCCCAAGCAGCCTGCTCAGTCTTACCAACATGTCTAAGGGCACTGAACAAATACCCTACAGGCATTTGGTGTTGCCACAACACTGGTAACATCACAGAGAATACCAAGGGCTCTCCAGGATACAACAGAATTTCCAGAGAAGGGACTACTAGAGTCATCTCCATGAGGCGTCACCTATCTACTAACTAGCTCTTCAGAAATGCACAAAAAGCCATGTTGCCCTTCTCAGGAGTCTTTCCAGAAACAGAAAGAAAGACCTCCAACACCTCCTCTTTACAAAGCCAGGGATCTCTCTCTCTCTGCTTCATTAGAATATTTTTACTACTTCAAGTATGGGAAGTTGAAGTCTCTATTCCAAACACATCCGATGAAACGGTTTATCACTTCTTCAGATCTCTAATGAATAACATGAGAAATAAAGGTTGCTAGGGTATTAGGTCAGGATAGTGGGGAGTAAAGATCGGTCCCCTGATGTGAACAAGCAAATTGTTGAGAATACCCAAGAGTGTTATAATATGTGGGTGTGTTGGAGGTTTTGGGTGCCCTGTCAGAACAAAGGTAAATCCCCTAGTTAATGAGGAAAATTACCCCAAATCATCAGCAGAATACATTCCAGCCCTCATGATGTTAGCAAATGTGTGATCAACTAGTGACATGTCAGGCTGGAGATGATAAGGACTGGGGCCCTGAGACACAGGAGCAAACATTCCCACAAGTGTAAGGCTCCATTCCTGCCTGAGTGCTTGTGGAATTTGAAGAGAGACAAATGGCTAGTGAGAGGCTCCACACAGACATGCAAAGGCATGTACAGAAAATCAAATGTGTCATAGTCATGGGGATAGTATGTAGTGTGTCACTGTGGTGGTGCTTCACCTAGAGCTACACAAGAGCCAAATTCCTTGCCTGGAGACACCTGTGACAATGCACACGCCCTTAGGAAAGGTGACACAGCCAGCTTAAATAACAACATCCATCGGTGCATGAGAGAGGCAGGTAAAGGGCACAAGAGGACAGATTAAAGGGGTCCTTTACTATAGAATTTCCCAGAGGCCCACTTCACACTTTTGAATTTACCCCAGTCTTAAAATGAAGAACCGGCACCGTGTTTGGTCTGGATTGAAAATTCACCAAAAGCCTAGACTGTGGCTTCAGACGTGTACTTAGTGGATCCCAGAACAAATAAGTGATGTGAGAAAACTGTGTCCTTTCAGATGTTATATCACACTGACAAGTCATGCTAGACAAGGTGAGCTATCTCAGTAATACCCAATTCTAGAAGTCAAAGCACAGCGCCTGCCCTACACACTGCTTCATCTCAGTTAATCCTGACACACTGAAGGATGCTCAGAAAGAGACTGACAGATGAGACTTTGCCCAAGCAGGTTCTGAAAGCCCAGACTTGAGTCTCCCCTCTGTGGATGTCAGTTCTCCCATCTCTCTATAGGTAGGTGGATGTCTCAGAAGTCAGCTGGTTTCCTCTGTCTCCCTAAACAATGTGACACAGTGGACAGCCTCTTAAGGGCTTACTCACAGTTTCAGAGGATGCACATTGGCTCCAAGCCCTCAGCCATTTGCTTTCAGAGCCTGGAGAAAATTGCTACTGTCCCCAAGCACTCAGGCAGTAAAGGGATGCCCAAGTCACTTGCTCTATGCTTCAGAGTCTCATGTTAATGGAGAAGCCATGCAGGGGCAGAACATAGTCACCAGATTCACATAGCCATCCTCACTGACATTCCAGGACATTCAGAAATACCAGGAAGGGGACAGGCTCATTCCAGGTCCACTGAATCTAACAGTTCTCAGGCTGAACTGATCTATGTGCCACCCACAACAGGGAACTCAAAACTTTAGGGATCCCTGGAAGACAGTAGCACTTGGTGGATCCTGCCCTGCTAGTGGTTATAATGTAAAGTATCAGAACCTATGGCTTTGCCAGGGTACTCCCCTTTTCCTATCATTACTGGCACACAATGAAAGGACTTCAGTGAGTGTGATCACAGTTATGGTACAGAAATCTCATTAATTCTTCTGTGCCTCCTTTCCCACTCAGGGTGAAAGCCTGAGGGTACCCAGCAAAGCAGCTTCAGCCTTGTCAATTCCTGACTCTGCCAAACTAATCATCATGGATCCTTCATCTGGGTCTGCTCTTTAGGAACCCAGAGAAGGATAGGCCTATTGCCTCCCAGAAGTTCCCAGTTCCTGAGTCTTAGCCCTGGAAGGCTCAAGCCCAAAAATATCCAGAAAACTCCCCAGCCCCTTCCCAGAACTCACTAAGTCTTCCTCAGGACATCTTATTCCTCCATGTTTTCCAGGGAGATCTAGAACCAGCTTCCTTCTGCCTCACTCTGGTCTCAAGCAGAATGGACTCCTCCATTTCTCTAGAACATAAGCTCTGGCATGCAGTTAGTGATTCAGGCTTGTATTTGGGACCTGGTCTCTGTAGTAAGGGGTAGGACTTCTGATAGGAACCTCTCCACCAAAACACTGGAAGGATGCTCAAAGGTGCTATCAGTCAACAGCCCCTCCCCATGTTACCCTGCAGCCTCCAGAAGGGACTTTAAGAAGTCAAATTTACCAACTTTTCCTTTGTGGCTTGGGCTTATAATCACTCATCATTTTACTGATTATTTCACTTCTGACATAAACCATATTGAATCATTCTTCCTACAATGGAAATTTCACTTTGGACATAGAATCCTCTTCATGGAGTGTCAATGTTCTTTGCAGTAAGTTGAGGTTTATGTTTTCCCCTTCTGGCTTGCTGTGATGGCTAATTTTGGCTGTTTACTTGACACAGAGTTGAAGATTTGACTCCATCAAACTGGCTTGCAGGCATGTTTCTTTGGAATTTTCTTGTTGCTAACTGATGAAGGATGGCTCAGCCCTCTGTGGGTAGTGCCATTCCTAGGCAGGTGATCCTGGGCCTCAGAGGAAAGCTAGCCGAGCAGAGCAGTAAACAGCATTTTGTGTGGTTTCAAGCACCTGCTTTGGGATCTTGCCTTGGCTTCCCTTGATGATGGACTGCAATCTGTGAGATGAATAAACCCTTCACTTTCCCAGATTGGCTTTTTGGACTTTTATCACAACAATAGTAAGTTAACTAGAACACTTGCCATATTTTCAGGGCATGCTCTCACAGCCCATTGTTCTTCCAGCCTGTAGCCTCTTTTTTCACCATTCACAAAGTTTCTGGACACTGAAATCTATTGCAATATCAACTCTACCAATCACACCCACTGCTCACATTTCTCTCTTAAAGTATTTTTTTCCATCTCATATGTCATGCTCCTCTCCAATATATCATGCTTCCCTACTTTACCCTTCTAAAATTATCTCTGGATATTCCTGCCTGTTCCACTTTAAAAATTATCCTTTGCCCAATAATAGAACATTTATGGACACATTATTAAGTTCCATAGAAAGGGGTGATACATTGTATTTAATAGCATGCTTTTAAAGTGTGATCATATAAAATGTCTTGTCATACATTTTAAAGCCTTTTGTGAGTGGAACTGTTTCCCTGATTTCTTTGTTAGTATGTTTGTGATTGGTATACAGGAAGGCCACTGATTTGTGTGTGTTAATTTTACAATCTTTTACTTTTATGAATCTATTTGTCAGGTTTAAGGGAGTTCTGATAAATTTTAAGTTTTAATTGTTTAGAATCATATCATATGCAAATAAGGACATTTTGACTTCTCACTTTTCCATTTCTATCCCCTTTATCTCCTTCAGTTGTCTTATTGCTCTTGCTAAGAGTTCAAGTACTGCATTGAATAGGAGTGGAAGGAGTGAATATTTTTTTTGTTCCTTCTTTTTTTGGAATTGCTTTGAGTTTTTCTGTATTTAGCATGATGCTGCTGTGGGCTTGTTATACAATGACTTTATTATGTTGAAACATATCCTCTATATCCCTAAATACTCCAGGACGTTTATCATTGACGAAAGTTTGATTTTACAAAGCCTTTTTTCATATACTCAGAGGGTCATATTGTTTTTTTCCTTTATTCATTTTATGTGGTGTAATAAATACATTGATTTGTGTATGTTGAATTACCCTTACATGTTTGAGGTGAAGACAACTTGACCACGGTAGATATTTTTTTTGATGTGATCCTGAACTTGATTTGCAAATATTTTATTGAAAATTTGT